TGTGCTCTATAGAATTCATAAAGAACTATAGTTGTTCATTTGAAATGAACGACCAATTTTGAATAATTTTTTATTTTGATTTCTTTTTGTGAACCTATTTTTGAAGGAATTTATTTTCTAATTTTTTAAAATTTATAGGGGTTTAATTTTTTTTCAAGGGATTCTCAATTTTTTTAATTATAAATTTTTTTACACAACTTTTAAGACAATCACAATCATAAAAAAATTTGTTATTAATTATTTTTAGTCACTATTGATATTTTGATTAAAGTTGATTCCATTCCAATGAAAAAAATTATTTTATTCAAACATAAGAATGAAATAAACATTTCATTCCAGTACTTAATTCTAACAACCGCCAAACATTAGAATGGTAATACGCATTCCATTCTAATCTCAAACTCATTTCATTCTTACTAAAAAGTATTACTGCGTACCAAACGCAACGTGAGTTTATTGCTGAAAGGTTCTCGAAATAGGAAACCTTATAGTTTAGTATTGGGAAGGCTAAGCAGAATTTGGAACCTAATTGGTATCTGATTATTAATTTGGTGAAATTAAGGGAATGACATGTAAAGATTTCATTAGTTAATATATCATCCAATGATATCAAAACCAAAATGAGAAGTATTAATTGTTGTTAACTCAAGCACTATATTGTATAGCATATGAACTTCTGGCTTAATGATAGATTTTCGTCATTCTTCTACTCTTTCATCACGGGAGATAAACCACTAGAGTGCAATCAATTCAGTAAATACTGGACCTAATGTCACTATTCAATAATACATATATAAAATAGGTAAAATGAACCCCATTTGATTACTAAAACATGTAAAATCCACTTGCTCCCTTGTTATTTGAAGGAGTTGAGATCGAAAAGTCAATGAAATTCTATTTGAGTTCTAAAATTCTTAACATGATCGTCTTGCCATCCAAGTAAAATCCATGTTTTAAACTCGAATTCAATTCAAATTTATTTTTTTGGGTTAGGTAAAAAGTTAGGTTGAATTTGAAATTCAAACTAAAATTCTTGGATTTATTAAGGGTTCAACCCGTCAAACTGAAATCGATAATGGATTGAGTTCAGGTAGGGTCCCAAGAAAACCTTAGAGTCCAACCAATTATTATCCAAGTTAAAAAAAAATGAGATTATTTACTATCAAACTTGTTAGTTTTGCACAACGGATAATTAACACAAACAACATTTGTTAGAAGATAGGAATTCAAAGATAAGAAAACAATAAATATATGACACAAAGATATATCATGGTTCGATACAACATATCTACCTTGGTACACCATACCTACATCCACGGATCAAGAATTTACATCGATGTATTATGCATTGAAAAATTGATAATTTGGTAACTGATTAAATAATATTTAACTTTATTTATAGGGATAAAATACTGTAACTCAAACCTATTTAGATACAACTTGATTTTTATTTATACTATCATATGTCTAACATTCTTATTTATGATATATTAAAACTTTTCCAATATAATTTTATTTCATATAGGATTCTCACATTGATTAATAAGGCTGTGCAAAAAACCCATAAACCCGACCACCCGATCCATAACCGACCCTTCCGAATGAAAATGGACGGCTAAAACTCTTTTCGATTCGGCCCACGAAAGTTATAAACCATTGCCTGATTAAATTGGTTCAGATAATGGGTACATTCAAGTTATAACCCGAAATACCCGAACCATCCGAATAGTATATTAATAATATAAAAATTAATTTTGTCCTTTAAAAAAATAAAAAAACAAAAATATAAAACCTCCCAATTCCCAAACCCTACTCTGTCTTCTTCCTCAGAACAAGAGTGTGCCACCTCTCGTCACTTTTGAGTCTCTTCTCTGTCTCCTAAACGCTGCCCCTTTTCTTCTTCCTCTACTCTTCATTTCTTTAGTCATAACCGTTCTTTGAGTACACGATAAGGCAAGATATATTTGAATGGATTCTTGGATCTACAAAGCAAGCCCATGGATCTCAAACCTAACCGATCTTCGAGTACACGATCAAGCAAGATATCGTCGAGTGGATTTTTGGATCTTCAAAGCAAGCCTAAGGATCTCAAACTCAAGTTTGACTGGTTCGAAAAAAATGCCTCTGATCTTCAAAAGGATCTCAAACTCAGGTAAGATGCCTCTGATTTTTTTAAGGTTTTTGGCTTGTAAGATTGTATGTAAATAGGGAAGTTCAACATTGAAATGAAGTTTTGAAATCTTATCAACAAAAAAATGTTGTTGAAATCTAGTTGAGAGTATTAACCGAAACCGATCCAAAATCGACCGACTTAAAGGGGTCGATTTTAGGTGAGGTTGTATATTTTGATTGGGGCGGTTCGGTTGATAGAAACTACTTCCGACCTCTGTTGGTTTGGCCAATGGAAGTCTTGACTTCTGACCCTTTATGTCGGTTGAACACTCCTATTGATTATCCAACAAACTCTCATTCAAGATAACTAGAGAGTTTGAGTCAAATTTCAACAGTTTCCCTTAAACCAAATTCATGATTGAGCTTATCACCCTTAATTATGATTTACCAATTTTTCAAGCACTACGTGCAAACCTGTTTTTTAGAGTCGCTACAATCGTCTCTGTCTTTCAAGATCATCTTACATGCTCTTGAGAGGTCTCAATCATCAATGCTTCACCATTCAAAAGTAAAAATATAGTGATTCGAAACCCACGTGACACCAAATAATCACTATTGAGTTTATGTCAACCCAATAGCTCCCAAACCATTGGAATACTGTGACTTCAACTCTAAGGGCCAAAAAAAAAAAAAACTGAAGAAACATCTTCAACAAAGCATGTGTGGTAATTCTTGAAATCCAAACAATTAGGAAGCAACTTAGTCTTCCGTTTGACTTCATACCAACTTAAAGTTTTGTTGCACCAGGATCATCAATCTAGTTTTGATTGTTCTACCAGAATCATCAATCTAGCTCTGATTGTTACACCGAGAACGTCAATTTGGCTCTGATACCACTTGTTGGTTTTACACAGCGAATAATTAACACAAATAATACTTGTTAGAAGATAGAAATTCAAAAATAAGAAAATAATAAAGATATGACACAAAAATATATCGTGGTTTGATACAACATACCCACCTTAGTACACCGTACCTACATCCACAGACCAAGAATTTACATTAATGTATTATTCATTGTAAAATTGAACATCTGGTAACTGATTATATAATACTCAACCTTATTTACAAGGATAAAATACTGTAATTCAAACCTATTTAGATACAACTTGATCTTTATTTTTCCTATCACATATCTAATATAACTATTTATGATATATAAAATCTCTTCCAATATAATCCTATTTCATATAGGATTCTCAAATTAATCATCCAATAAACTCTCATTCATTATAACTAGAGAGTTTAGGTCAAATTCTAATAAAATTCATCCCAAATTAGAGAGTATTTTTGGTTTAACTCTGATTGGATTAGGATTCACCACTGTAATAGGATACCTAGCGGTAACTAAAACAGTTTAAAAAGACTATCTTCAAGTGTTCATGAATTGGTATAGTAATGTTTAATGTTTGGATTGTACAAAATAGTTATTCTAAGATATTTATAAATAGGTTTCCAGAATCGAACCCTTTATCGAGGCTCACCAATGACGGGTTGATAAAATTGGCCAGTTAAACCAAATATCAGAACCGATAAATGTGATTTTTATCTGAATTTCAATTCTAGTGTCCAAGTTTATGATTTTTAAATTTCATAGAAGTAAATATTTGATTTGACAATTATATAAAAAATACAGTTGTTGATCTAAACATCGTTAACTTTGAAATTTTAGTGGAAGTTTATTAAAGCTTCACATGGAGATGGGCACACACGGCAGAAGTAGGGGTGTCCATGAGCCAGGCCGTCTAGGCTTGTGAAATTTTTTTCGGACCACATTTGAATAGTGTATGTCCAAGTCCTTACTCAAGTGAGTTATTGGACGGACCGGATTCGGCTTCGGGTAATGGTAGGCTACCCACAGTCCAACCCGTTAGCCTATTGGATGAGTTTGCTTGCAGATTTTTTTATATACATCTTTATTTAAAAATAATGAATATTTTTGTAACTTAATATTTGTGTAAATTATATTTTTGAATCAAAAGTAAAGTGAAAATGGATAAAAATAAAATGATGAACTACATCCAATAGAATGAATAAATCTTAACTAGGTTGACACCTATTAACTTATCTGTCATTTACATTACTCTACTATTTAAAACTTATATGCTTAATACATGGAAAAGAAAATAATATATTATTTATAATTTCTAAATTTTTAAAATTTCAAATTTAATAGTATAAAAGTATAATTTTTTTCAAGGGAAAGGTGGATGGATTGGGCTTGACGGATTGGCTTTTGGGCTGAGCTTCAGGCCGGAATTGGTTTGGAGGCGAACCCAAGCCCTCATTTTAAGGATATTAGGCTTGGACTTGGGCGGGCCAATTGTTAGGCCTATTGGGCTTTGGGCTTATTTTTTTCGAGCCGGTGATGAAACCCGTGGGTAATCTGATTTATGGACACCCCTAGCCAAGGGAGAGAGAGAGTACGATTCTCTTTTATCTTTTTTTTTTTGGAAGAAAATTTCCAGTGTATTGAGGACAAAATAAAATAATTTTTTAATTATTGGGGTCATGTGAATCCAATAACATAGTCGAGAGTATAACATGAAAAATGTGGAATAATGTAAAAAAAGTCATGGTTGAAAGGGTCAAAATATTATTTTTTTTCTTAAACATTTTACAAACAATACAATAGATCCAAATAGACTAAAAACCAATTAGGTAATATCAAATAAAAGACTAATTTTATTTAAACTTAATTTACTGACCTAAACTTCTATGGGTACTCATTGATATACTCTTAACAAATTTGGATTATTTAATCTCGTACCTCTAAATTCTAATACATTTGTGTAATATAATTTGTAGAATAATGCCTTGTAACCTAACTATAAACATGAATACTGTCTCGTCGGCATCTTGAAGCGGCACAACGGACACAAATGGCTCGTCTCTAGCCACTGAACAATGCAGTCTCTATGATATTTATGCGAACATGGCATGCGACTAGCTTCTTGCCCATCACAAAGTGTTTCCAAGCAAATCATACACTGTTCCGTGGAACCTGAACCATCAAGTCTCACCTTATCGAGGGCTTCAATGGATGATTTGGTTGCTGACACTGGCCTGAACATTCCAAGCTCCATGGATTCTTGCATCACCCTTGCGACTGCTTCAGTTTCATCGTTTGACACCCATGACCATGTCTCCATCAAAATATTTGCAGTGATTATGGGTGTCTCACCACCATCACTTGTTCCAATTTCCCGATAGAACGAGATGATGTCATCTATAGGACGTTCGTGATGATGGGTCGGAATTCCCACATTTAAAAGACACGGAGATAAAATCATCCATGCCGAGTCCTCAGAAAATAAAATCTCAGGCAATAGAGGAAAAACGCCGACATTCTCCGGAGATTCTTGTACAGATCCATTAAAGTGTGCACGTTGTCGAAAACAGATTCGGAGGAGAAGTAACTCCGATGGTGGTGGCAGATGCCTGTATCTTTGGGGAAGAACATCGCTGACCAGTTGCACTGTATATTCTGTGTGGTGTGACATCTTGAATTTTGAAAAAGGAGAAGAAGACGAACAAAAACTTTGCAAAGCCAAATAAAAAATTCTATTCAATCAAGTCAGTCTGTGTACTACAAAGCAAACCTATTGTAGTTTATGTATATAATATTCCAATTAAGAAATTTCCTATTTAGACTATGATTAATTAACAATTAATAATAATAAAATTCTAATAGCAATAAATAAACAATAAAAAATTTAGAGAATTTGAGTCAAAGTCCAATAATAGAAAAACGCATGGAGGTAATTTACCGCTGCAAGGTTTCCAAATGAAATAGGAAAACTTATAATTTAGGATTCAAAGACAGAGCAGAATTAGGAAACGAATGAAAAAATTATTTACTGTCTATCTATATATATATCTTACTATCTATTTATATCTATATACAATTTCTAAATATACACACATATTGAAAAAACTTTTATTTT